AAAGAAAGAAAGAAAAACTAGATTGGTTCTGGTTTGCAGGTGGCTGAAGTCACAAAGAGAAATCTTCAAGAATGGTCACTTGGCATGTGTGAAAGATTCAGGGACTTTGCAGTTGTTTAGTGTTGATGCAGATGGGGCCAAAAGAGTATCAGGTTAGTCTTCTGTGGTTTTAGACAGGCAGGGATTATCGTGTCCTCTGCCTCCTCCCACCCCACTGACCTCCTTGTACCATTCCCTTTATTCCAGGTTTCTGCTCAGAAGAGAAGGTTGACTGAGTGAATAGCTTCTAACTAGCACCGAATGCTTGGGCAAAGAAAACTGCCCTTTGTTCTTGGTGTGTTTTTCCAAACTTTTATCTTTTGTTTCCTGGGTGGGAATGGGTCCAGTGGGGCATGGCCAGGGTGGATCCTGATCCTAGCTCTGTCCCTGGCATGCTGTCTGCTCCTAGGATAAGCCACATTACCTCCCTGATACTCGGGTTTCCTTCTGCAAAAGGGAGTTAATGTTCCAAAAATGTATTTTTTACTTGCATCCTAGGTAGTAAAAGGTAGAAATGGTTGGTAAAGTCTGTGATCATCATTTAAATTCCCACTCTAGGGACATTCGCATGTCAATGTAATCAGTGTCAAAAGACATTGGATCAGAGGGTTCCAAACACACTTGAAAGGAGAAAACCCATTGTTCTGTTATTCCTCTTTTCCTACGGGGATCTTCCGAAAGGGTTTGGAATATTGGTGATGCTGTCTTGGCAAGATCTATAAGATCTTAGAGATAAGAACTCAACATAACATAACCAGTCTAGCCAATTACCACCGCTTTCTTTTGATGGAGAGAAGATAGCCAGGCTACCTCAGATGCAGGGAAGAGAATTTCAAGACAGAAGAGAGACTGCTCCACACAGCAGGGCTTTTTTGCATGTTCCTGATTTCAGATTTCATCTGTCAAGAACTACAATGATGTCAACAGGGAAAGACCAACTATTCAGATGACAGACGAGCTTTTAGTTTGATCCCTGGTGAAATTTTCATCACCCCTAGTATGTGGGTCACTATGAACATTTTGAGACAGTCTGTGTTATGATCCATTATTTTGCTTCCAAGAAACACAGTTAACAGCATCTCCTATGATTCACCTGTACAACTTGTTCAGCTTATTGGTGTGGCAGGGAGGGTTTCATTTGTTTCCATCCACGTGCATTTTTGTGCATCTCAAAACTGTTGTAATGACCTATACTTAGTGTTGAACTGAGAAATTTCATGCTGGATGGCTTCTGTAGGTAGAATATAAACCCCCTGAGGGCAGGGATTATGCCTGACTGATCTCTGAACTCTCACAGGCTTTAGTCTGAAATTTGAACGTCTACAGTGTGTAAATATTATACACCCAGCGTCAGCTCTGCCTGGGTCTTCTCTCAAAGGACAAATGAGGAGGATTTTTGCAATTATGGGAATCAACAAAAGAAATCATTATTGGTAATACAGATCGAGTATCCTTTATCCAGAATGCTTGGGACTAGATGTGTTTTAGATTTTGGAATATTTGGAATATATAAATAATGAGGTATCTTGGGGATGGGACCCAAGTCAAAATATGAAATTCATTCATAATATGTTTCATATGCACCTTATACATATAGCCTCAAAGTAACTGTATACAATATTTTAAGTGATTTTGTGTAGGAAACAAAATTTGTATACACTGAACCATCAGAGAGCAAAGATGTGTAATTTCCCACTTGTGATATCATGCTGGTGCTCAAAACGTTTTAGATTTTGGAGCATTTTAGATTTTGAATCTTTTGATTAGGGATACTCAACCTGTACATAAATGGAAAATAATGACTACGCTGGACTTACCACCTTCTAGTTGGTCGTCAAGTAATTGAAGGTGTCATCCTGCCTTACATATTCTCACTGGGTATTGCTTTCAATACAGAAATCCTGGAGGCAGAAGGGAATTTCTCTCCATAATTAGACTGTAAGGTTCTTTGAACAGTAAGAGACTGAGTTCTCCTATTTGGGTAAAGTGAGCAGAAGGAGGTGTCCTCATCTTAGCAACATCATGCCCTGTCTCTGATCTCCTATTACTACAAAAGGCTGCAGTAGGAATCCGCCCTTTCCCTTTAGTTCTTACAGTCAACAGCTTCAGAACACACCAGGTACTTGGCTTAATTTCTCCAATTGAGATGCAGTATCAGTCGTCTCAGAGGCTAAAACATCTATCACTGACTCTTGCTCAACACTCTGGAAAGACATCTGTGGTATGCTGAGATCCAGACCAGGTTCAGCATCCTTCACGCAGCCTGAGACCAAACCCTTCACAAGGTCCCTGACCTCCCTGAAGGTAGAATGGGCGAAGCATGTGACAGGAGGCCACCCTGTGTGTCCACCTGTGCTCTGGTGAGAGGCAGGGGCAGAGCCAGGCTGGAGAGCCCTGGGTGGCTCCTCAGTTCCACTGTCCCTGAAATATATGGTTACATATTTGTCCCCTGGGCTGGTGTCCTTGTAAGTAGGGCAAAGGGAGAATATTCCTCCTGCCTGTGTGTCCCCAACATCTAAGTGCCTGTCTCAGAAAAGGCCAGAGGAGAAGCCTGGGGGTATCTGGCAGCTTCTTCTGGGACCTGCTGGGGGTGGCACGTGAATGCCCCTGAGGAGCTATGAATTGCTCCCCCAACTGGAGGAGGAAAGGGGGGACAAAGAGAGAGAGGGTGCTTTGTAAGGCAGGCATAATCTTCTGAAACTGTACCCCAAATGTTGGATTTCTGGACCAATATTGGAAGAATCAATTAGCATGGCTAGAAAAGGAAAAAAAAATCTAAAACAGCTTTCTAAAAATACCTGTTATCATCAACAGTACTAAGGAATGGCACTGCCCTCATTTTACAAGATACTATCAACCTTATTTTGAGGTGAAAAAGAGCCACAAATGGGTCTTTTCTGAAATACAGCTATGAAAGGAGGAAAAAAAATAATGTATCTGAGGAATTTCCTGTCTGCCCAAGCTGGGCAAACACTGGTTGCAACTGAGACTGTGTTCTGGGATCCTTCCTCTCAATGCTCTGTATCCAAGAGGGGATCAGGAAGCTTTTAAAAAGGGCTAGGATTGAAAAAAAAAAAAATCAGCTGAGGCATAAAGCTGACCACCAAGATGGCCTTTGGAATGGAGCAGAGAGGAGTTTTTCTTTCTCACTAGCTCACTAGCAATAACCTGCTTTGGAAAGATACCTCCCCCTCCAATCCCCGCCACACTGCAGAGTGTTTTTACCCAGTTTCTGGCTTGCCAGGCCCACGTGGTCTTTTCATATTTTCCACTTTGCAGCACTTGCAAACTAATCCCAAGCTTCTGGGACCTAACAAAGAACTTGGACAGCCTTCCATGGCCTTCTACCTCCCTTATCTTCTGCCCCAGCTGCGGGGTTCTCACAGCCATTTCAGGGACCAAGGGCTGGATTAGCACATCTTTCCAGAGTACAGCAGCATCAGTGATGTTTTTGGCCTCCCTCAGCTGGGTGGCCAAATGCTGGGACGTGGGTTTGATTTTGTGCTGCTGGCCATAAAGCCCCTGAGTCACCAATTCTGGTTAGGTGTCTACCGTTCCCTGACCCTCTAGGAGAGGCTCAACTCTGCTGAAAGGCATCTGAAGCTCCACAGCGGGCCGGGAGGGAGGACAGAGGGGAGCACGAAAAGAGCAGGAGGGAGAAAGAGAGCTTTCACTTGATCTGTTTAAAAAGCATTTTTTTTTTCTAAGCTAAGACCCAACAGTAACAGGAACAAACCTGATCCACATGGCAGGAAAAAGAGGAACCTGAACCTTTCTGCAAGTATTTTGTTTCCTGACCAGCTGGGCTTGCTATACTTTGTGAGATTTGAAAAAAAAATAATATATATATATATATATGATATATATTTCCATAGGAAAACATCAGATGTCTTCCCCTCTATGAATGATGAAAAGTCAAACTGCATATTCTTAAAAAAACAAAAAGAGAGACACCATGGAACCAACAGTGGTGGAAGGGTGAGGGTGAGGAGTTACAGATGGAGAGATTCCAAACGAGAAGGAAGTGTGACGTGCGAGTCCCAGGCTCGTGCCCTCCGCCAGAATTCCAGCCCCGCCTTTGCTGGGTGGTTTGTCTAAGGTGCTCTGGGGTCCCTCTTGGTCTGCAAGAGAAGTGTCCCTGCCATTTCTGGGTCTCTCCCTTTTCAGCTTGCCTCAGCCCGCCTGCCCCGTCACGCCTCCAGCGATCGTGGTGGGCGAGGGTCCCCTGGCCGCTGGCCCGCTGAGGTGCAGTGGTGGTCCCTTCAGCACTCATCTTCTTGGTAGATTTGTTCATCCAGCTCCTGGGACTCGAGGTGCTCCAGACGGTCTGTTCGGCCACTCATTATTTCATCTGGGGTTTTCATAAACCTTTGAAAGAAGAAATGGAAGAGTCAAGATATTATCCTTTCCTAACATTACCTTTATTCTGAACTCTACCTTCTATGAAAGAAAGGGCTCATCATCTTACGTAGCTGGACAGCTGCTTGACCCAGACATTAACACTAACTTAGCACAACCTAGGAAAAGGTACCCCTTCTTCTGACTGCCTGCAAGTGGCAAATGACTATTAAAGTCTAGGATGACCCTGAGGTAGAGAGCACCCTTTGGGGCTGTTTAGGGTACAGTAGTGCGTGACCATCTGAGGTAAACCCTGGCCTAAGTCACTTATCTGTGTTTCTTATTTTTAGAGACTTAGATTTTAGAAAGGCCCGTGAGAGCTGTCCATTCATTTCCACTCTGGACCGTGAGTGAGCCCAGGGAATGGTATGCGACATTTGAATTTAACCCAAAGGATACCATTAAATGTTAAATGAAAAAAAAAAATTCAATAACGGGACAAGTTAGTGGAGCTTCTGGAAAATGAGAAAGGCAAAAAGAAAGGGAAAGTTTTCCAAGGTGATCAGTGATGCACCCCAAATGCTAGCAATGAATCCCCTGAAGTCTGTGTTCCTCTGCAGCGGGGGCACACAGCGAGCCTTAGCTTCTTGTTCAGTGGGTTCATTTGAAAATGACACCCATGAGGTGTTTTGGCTGCAATTCACAGGGGTCAGGAAGGGAAGGCAGCCTGGTCGCAAGATGTTCTGCCCACACCGTGGGAGTGCCGTTTCCACAGCCCGCTCGGCCCACTCGCAGCTTTCCCTTCCTATATACTCTTCCCTGTACCAAATGAACTATCTGAGAACATATATTTCCTCTCATCCTTCCCTGCTGGCAAGCTACTGATGACCACTTACTACGTCAAGGGCACTCTCTGGCGTGCCCAGTGGGGCCTTCGACCACCTTTACCTAAGAACTCCTACTGCTTTTCCTTCCTGCCTATTGTTGCTGGACTTCTCCACCAGCACAACCTGTAGCGTCTACAGTCTGTCTCCTGCTTTCAGAACCTCCCAGCCAAAATTTCTCCTTTCACATCTAAAGTCACTAATGGCCTCTGAGACCAAGTCCACAGCTGTGTGGTATTTGACCCTCCCAGCTACTCCTTTCTAATTTTGACTACTTTATCATATTTAGCTTCTGATGTTCTACACCAGGCTTGTGGTAAAATACATGTTGAAAGTCTCCATTGGGTAGAAAGTAGAATTAAAGTGTACTCCTCTTCCTTCTAAGAGCTTATGATCTAGTTGTGGGGAAGAGAGCTTCACACGTACAAGGTACGGGGTGAGCATCTCTAAACTGAAAATCTGAAACACTTACGGTCCCAAGCATTTTGGATAAGGGATATACTTAACCACATCATGATTTGCATTTTTTAATACAGGTTAAGGATCAGAGGAATCCGTGAGATGATGGAAGAAGATATCCATGTGTGTTGAAGAAGGCCTCATACAGGGAAATAGACTTCAGGTGGGCCTTGAGGGTAGGTTAGAAAGGCAAGAGTTAAAGGGCTAAACATTCCTGGTATAGGGAATCATGTTAGTGTTGTAGGGAAGCTCCAAGCGTGTATTACAAATCTGGAAGGGAAAAGAGTGGACCAGAGGCACAAAGAGATTGTTGCATTAATCTTGATGTTAGTCATGAGATCTGGACGTCAGCTTCCTTTGCCAGAAAAGCAATGATGACGCTTTTGCTTTTAATCTTCCAAATTTCATCAAAGTGTCTGTCATGGGTAAACCTCAACTTAGGACCTTCTGGCAACAAATTCTGGGAAGTGTAGTTCCCAGGCTTCTGGTCCGGGCAACACAGAATGAAGTGAGAACGGTGCTGAACGGCCAATAGACGATGACTGACTTGGATACGGGAAGAGTCAACTCTAGTTTCAAGGTTGGTTACTTAAAACAGTGGTGATGCCCCTGATGAGTAACAAGAATTCTGAGTGGCAGGAGTTCAAGATCACCCTGAGTAAGAGCAAGACCCTGTGTTTACCAAAAGTAGAAAAACTAGCCAGGCATTGTGGCGGGAGTCCCAGCTCCTTGGGAGGCTGAGGCAAGAGGATTGCTTGAGCCCAGGGTTTGAGGTTGTTGTGAGATATGACACCATAGCACTTTATCCAGGGTGACAGAGACTCATTCTCAAAAAAAAAAAAAAATTCTGAGTGGAATTTCTAATAAGAGTGTCTGTCTTGGAGGCATCACGTCTGAAATACTAATACTAAATACTAATATATGTACTAGTATACTGATATTTAAGTGGATATATCCTTCAAGCTCTTAGAAATTCAAATTTGGAATTTCAGAGAAATTTTAGAGCTGGATATAAAGATTTAGATGTTGTGTAATGGGATCAGTTCATCCATACCAAAAATGTAGAGTGGGAATGTCAAGGAACCAAGGACAAAGTTTAGGGTGAAGGATGAAGAAAGAGCCAGAGAAGGGAGGGTTCTTTTTCTTTTGGTATGGATATTCATGGGGTGCAAGTGCAATTGTGCTACATGGATAGAATACCTTGGGGTGATGTCAGACCCTTCAGAGCATCCACCACTGGAGGTGAGCACATTGTAGCCACCAAGCAACCTCCTATCACTCACATCTTCTGCCCCTTCAAGACTCTATTGTCCATTATTCCACACTCTGCTTCCATGTATCTACATTATTTAGTAAAAGGCGAAATATTTATGTGATCTGAAGAGAAACCAAGTATTTTTTAGCTCCCACTTATAAGTGAAAACACATGGTATTTGCCTTTGTGTATATGAGGTTTTTTTCACTTAAGATAATGGTCTTTAGTTCCATCCATGTTGATGCAAAAGATATGACTTCATTCTTTTTATGGATGAACAGTATTCCAGGAGGCATATACACCACATTTTCTGTAACCAATCTTCCAGTGACAGGTACTTAATTAGGTTAATTCCGTATCTTTGCTATTTGTGAACACTGCTGCAATAAACATATGAGAGCATGTATCATTTTTATGTGTTCTTTTTTTCCCCATTTGGGTAGACACCCAGTAGTGGGATGGCTCCATCTGACAGCATTCTATTTTTAGATCTTTGAGAAAGCTCCATCCTATTTTCCACAGAGGTTGTACTAATTTACATTCCCAACAACAGTATGTAAGAGTCCCTCTTTCTCTGCATTCTTATCAACATCTGTTATTTTTTGCCTTTTTCATAATGGCCATTCTGATTGGTGTAAGATGATATCCCATTGTGGTTTTAATTTGCATTTCTTTCGTGACGAGTGATGCTGAATATTTCTTCACATGCTTGTTGGCCATATGTATGCATTCTTTTGAAAAATATCTATTAATGTCCTTAGCCCATTTTTTAAAATGAGTTATTTGTCTCTTTCTTGTTAAGTTGTTTGAGTTCCTTATTAATTCTGGGTTTTTTTAGTCCCTTGTCAGATGTATAGTTTGCAAATATTTTCTCCCATTCTTCAGGTTGTCTGTTCACTCTGTTATTTCTTTTGTTGTGCAGGAGTTTTTGGTTAAAGTAAGTCCCGTTTATTTATTTTTATTTTTGTAGCCTGTGCTTTTTAGGTCTTAGTCATGAATTCTTTGCCTAGACCAATGTCCAGAAGAGTTTTTCCTATGTCTTCCGGTAGAATTTTTATAGTTTCAGGTGTTACTTTCAAGCCTTTACTCCATCTTGAGTTAATTTTGTATATGGTGAGAAAAAGGGGTCTAATTTCATTCTCGTGCATATGGCTATCCAATTTTTCTATTTATTGAAAGGAGTGTCATTTCCCTAGTGCATGTTCTTGTCAGCTTTGTCAAAGATCAGTGACTGTATGTTTCTTTCTATGCTCAGTATTCATTTCCACTAATCTATGTGTACCATGCAGTTTGGGTTACTATAGCCAGTTAGGCAATATGATGTCTTCAGCATAAGGATCACAAATGATCCTAACCTTTTGTGTAGGATTGCTTTGGCTCCATACAAATTATTTTATTTTATTTTTTACTTTACACTTTATTTTTTAAAGTTTTTAAATTTTTTTTTTTTTATTAAATCATAGCTGTGTACATTAATGCAGTCATGGGGTACAGTGTGGTGGTTTTATATACAATTTGAAATATTTTCACCAAACTGGTTAACACAGCTTTCATGGCATTGTCTTAGTTATTGTGTTAAGACATTTATATTGTACATTTAGAAAGATTCACATGTACCCTTGTAAGATGAACTATAGGTGTGGTCCCACCAATCACCCTCCCTCTACCCAACCTTCCCCCTCCCTCCTTCTCCCTTTCCCCATATTCTTGGGCTATAATTGGGCTATAGCTTTCATATGAAAGCCACAGATTAGTTTCATAGTAGGGCTGAGTACATTGGATACTTTTTCTTCCATTCCTGAGATACTTTGCTAAGAAGAATATGTTCCAGCTCTATCCATGTAAACATGAAGGAGGTAAAGTTTCCATCTTTCTTTAAGGCTGCATAATATTCCATGGTGTACATATACCACAATTTATTGATCCATTCATGGGTAGATGGGCAATTGGGCTTCTTCCATGACTTAGCAGTTATGAATTGGGCTGCAATAAACATTCTGGTGCAAATATCTTTGTTATAAAGTGATTTTTGGTCTTCTGGATATATACCTAGTAGAAGAACTGAAGGATCAAATGGCAGGTCTATTTTTAGATCCCTAAGTGATCTCCATCTTTCCAAAAGGAGCGTATTAGTCTGCATTCCCACCTGCAGTACAGAAGTGTCCCCTTTTCTCCACATCCACACCAACATCTTTGGCTTTGGGATTTTGTGATGTGGGCTAATCTTACTGGGGTTAGATGATATCTCAAAGTGGTTTTGATTTGCATTTCTCTGATGATTAAGGATGATGAGCATTTTTGCATATGTCTGTAGGCCGTGCACCTGTCTTCTTCAGAGAAGTTTCTCTTCAAGTCCCTTGCCCACCCTGAGATGGAATTACTTGTTCTTTTCTTGCTAATACTTTTGAGTTCTCTGTGGATTTTGGTTATTAAAATTTTGTTGGAGACATAACCTGCAAATATCTTCTCCCATTCTGAGGGCTGTCAGCTTGCTTTACTTACTGTGTTCTTGGCTGTGCAGAAGCTTTTTAGTTTGATCAGGTCCCAGTAGTATATTTTTGATGATGCTTCAATTGCCCAGGGGTCCTCCTCATATTTACACTTTCCTTTAGACAGAGTTTCACTTTGTCACCCTTGGTAGAGTGCTGTGGCATCACAGCTCACAGCAACCCTAAACTCTTGGGTTTACAGCAATCTCATACTCCTGGGTTCAAGTGATTATCTCATTTCAGCCTCCCAAGTAGCTGAGACTACAGGTGCCCACCACAACATCTGACTATTTTTTTAGAGATGGGATCTTGCTCTTGCTCAGGCTGATCTCAAACCTATGAGCTCAGGCAATCCACTCACCTCGGCCTCCCAGAGTAGTGGGATTATAGGCGCGAGCCACCATGCCTGGTTCCATACAAATTTTAGAATTGGTTTTTCTAATTCTATGAAACATGACATTGGTATTTTGATAGAAGTTGCATTGAACCTATAGCTTGCTTTTGGCAGTAGAGTCACTTTAACAATATTAATTCTTCCTGTTCATGAACATGGGATGTTTTCCCGTTCATCATCTATTGCTTTCATCAATGTTTTCTTGTTTTCATTGTAGAGATCTTTCACCTCCTTAATTAAGATATTCCTAGGTTGTTTTTTTCATAGCTATTATAAACGGGATTGCCTTCTTTACTTGGACTTGGCTAAGTCATACTGGTATATAGGAACACTACTGATTTTTACATGTTGATTTCATATCCTGAAACTGAATTATCAAATCTAATTTAGCATTTTCTAGATGTAAGATCATAGCGTAACATTGGCAAACAGGGATATTTTGACTTCCTCTTTTCCAAACTGGAGACCTTTTCTTTTTCTTTTTTTGCTTGATGAGGACTTGAGTGTGATGCTGAATAAGAGTGGTGAAAGTGGGAATCCCTGTTTTGTTTCATTTCTTAGGGGGAAAGTTTTCAAATTTGCCCCATTATATCTGATATTGCTGAGGGTTTGTCACATATGGCTTTTATTATTTTGAGGTATGTGCCTTTTATGCCTAGTTTGTTGAGGATTTTTATTAGGAAGGGATGATTAATTTTATTAAATGCTTTTTATGCATCTACTGAAGTGATCATATGGTTTTTGCCATTGTCATGTGATATATCACATTTATTGATTTGCATATGTTGAACCATTCCTGGCATAAAACCCACTTGACCATGGTGTATTACCTTTTTGACATGCTGCTGGATTCAGTTTGCTAATAATTTGCTGAGGATTTTTGTGTCTATGTTTATCAGGGGTATTAGTCTGTAATTTTCTTTTTTTGTTGTGTCCTTGTTTGGTTTTGTTATTAGGGTGATACTGGCCTTCAGGGAGAAGCTAGGAGGCTTCCTTTTTATTCATTTCATTCTGTTCCCATTTTTGTTCAATAATTGAAGATCTCAATTATTATCATTTTTTTACCTTAAGAAAAATCAATAGCTGTATTTTTTCCTCAATATACATTTCGAAAATTCGTCTGAGAAGAAAGATCTCAATTATTTTTACCACTCTTGAATTAATGCTCCTTCCTAATGCTAAAGGCTAGGTTCTCTGAGCTCTTTCCATCCATCCCAGTGAACTCATCTGCTACATAGTGCTGTTTTCTACCTATCTATAGATAATTCCAAATCTACATCTCTATCCCTACCTGTTGCTGTTTTCTGCCCCACCTACCAAAACCCACAGGCTAAGGTCATGTTTATTCATCTCACCTTCTCCCAACCAGCACTGGGTCCCACCAAGTGAATCACTACCAATATCAGAAGTCTACTTCTACCTCTTCTGATCGGTCCCTTCTTTAGATCCCTTCTTCTTCCTCTTCTAATTCTTTCTCCTCTCTTGTACTGTCCTTAGAATCACAATCTATGTGGTAGGTTAAAGGGCTGGAACTCATTATCTGCTAGGAATTCTGGAAAGAGAAATTCTAGTGCCCTAGCTTTCAGACATTTCTGACTATGATGCATTTATAAGAAATACATTTTGTATCATGACTCATATTTCTCCCCACCCTCCCAATACCCCTGAAACAAAATTTTCATGAATCCACAGTCACTCTTACTTCACGTGATGCAGTCTGATTCTTTCAACTCTATCCAATCTGATTCTTATTTCATTTTTAAAAAGTTGGATAAACCCATTAAATCACTATGGGTCATTACCCTGGTTCAGAGAGTAGCTTAGGGTTGGGAGCCTGGAAGCCTGGGTTTAATTTCTTGCTTTGCCATTGACAGTGAGCCTTTGAGTGATCTCTGTAGCTATATTGACTTCAATGCCAGATAATACTATTTGGTCACTGCATTATTTTAAAGGTGAGTCAGACTGTGTGTTTATTTAGGATTGGCTTTATACAGGAGAGACAGAAGTGAAAAAAATTTTTTTTTCTTTTTTTCTGAAATCCTAGTAAACCAGCACCCGGTATCCACCTTGTAGCAATGATGCCTTTGGGTATCACACAGGCAGGTAGAGATCTTACCGTGTCCCTCCTCCCCCTTACTGAAAGAAAACAATATTCTCCCAAAAGAAGGAAAGGAGAAAAAGGAAGTGCTACCTGAACAAAAGCCTTTGTCCTGGCTCCTTCCTGATAATGTTTAGTTTGTAGTAGTGGCGCAGGGCTCTGGACATTTTCTCATAGGTCATGTTTGTTCTGTTCTGTTTGTTCAAAGGAGGAAGAGAGAAAAAAAGCACAAAGACACAATGAAATGAACCTCACAAAAGGCACTGGGGGAACTATTAAAATCAAAGCTGTTCAGCTGCTCCCCGGGGCACTGCCGGTTTGGGAATTCTACCTGCTAACTTGCTGTCTTCCCAGCACATGAGTTTCCACCCTTAGCTTTTACTTTCCCTGTCGCCAAGGTTTATTTACTCCTAAGGTGAATCGCCCTACTCAGAGAGCCGGAGCCCTAGAATAAAGCATATCCCACAGGAACCTCCCTAGGTTCCTTTTCTCATGACAGGGCTCTGCTGTGCCTGAGGAATTTCCTGCAGGTTCCCCTATCTTTGAGTCATCCTCACCTTCTCACCCACACAGAATGCCTTTCTTTCTTTCTTTTTGTTGTTGCAATGACCTTTCTCAAATTTGTGTTTCTGCTGTGTCATTTTAAGGAAGAATTTTTTTTATTTTTTGGGTTAAATTCCTGTTATGGAAGCAAGGACACAGTGGTTCAGAGCCCTGGGGATATGGCACAATGTGGGAGTAGCAGAGGGATTTCTCTCTGCAACTCACATGTTGAAGCGTCTATCGGTGGGGTCTTGCTATGTATCTGGCCACCATCTGTGTTATCTGCTGCCTTCTCAGAAGGCTCAGGCCTGGGCAGAGCTGGGGCACCTGCCTGCCATCTTGGGCAGCAGGTCTGGGCCTCTGCCACTGCGATGTCTTCAGGCTTTGCCAGATCTACCTGTCTGCTGCCCGGATCAGGGTTACATACACCTGCACACGTGAATGGTCTTCTTTACCAGGAAACAATTTGTTTTAAGTTCTAGTCCCTCCTCCCCATTTGGAAAACAAACAGTAGGGCAATCAAACTCCTTACACCATGTGCTTATAAAGGGGTGATCTTACAGTAACGATCTAAGTATTTTCTGTGTAGAAATGGGCTTTTGTGGGAGTTTCTAACTGAGCAGAAAAGCAGTGCCACTTCCCAAAGGTCTCTGGTGAGTCAGAGTCTCAAAGTACTTCCCTTTAACCCCGTTCCCAGTGACAGTAGGGTGGCAGGGCCAGGTCAAGGGGAGTGGAAACAAGGGTTCTCACGATGCAGCTCTATCAATCTGGGAGATGTTGAGTAAATGGGCACCTGACACATGGGACCAATGGAAAGAGGTATCTTTCGTTATTTCCTTTCCTGTGCACCTGTCTGCCCAGAGAGGAGACTTAGGAAGAAGGCAGACACTTGTCCTCCAATCCAGAGGAAAGGACTTTATTTTGGCACTAGTTCATAGAACAGATATCTGGTGCCTTTTTACCTTATGGTTTCCCCACAGTCGAGCCAGTCCATTGGGATCCACTATCCGGAATATTTTGGATTCTTTGTCTTCCCATCGGATGAAGTTTTCGTACCGGCTGTCGGAAAGCAACTGATAGACGTAATCCCAAAGTAGTCGACAGTCTACAGAGGAAAAGGGCAAGAAAACACTGTTGAAAATGTTCCTTGTTGAGGCTCTCACAACAAGAATCAGGAAGGAATGTGGTCTCCACATTTGCCTAACTTCCTCATTTTACAGAGAGGAAACTCAGGTGCATTGCAATGGAGTGAGAGAGTGTTGGAGAAGTGTGACCTTGACTCGTGGGGGCCTGATCCTGGACAACAGCCTTTTTCTTTCTTTTTTTTTTTTTTATTGAATGGTAACTATGTACATTAATGCACTTCTGGGGTACAGTGTGGGGTTTTCACATGCAATCTGAAATACTTCCATCAAACTGGTCAACAGAGCCTTCATGTCATTTTCTCAGTTATTGTTTTAAAACGTTCACATTCTACTCTTAGAAAGATTCACTTGTACCCCTATAAGATAAACCTCAGAAGTGATCCCTCCAAATCCCCTCCAACAGCCTTTTTCCATAGATGAGGACACAGTGACCAGGAAGTCCATGGTGATGACCAAAACCTGAACTTGAACAGAGGTCATATGAAAGGCAGGGAGCAAGCTCTACCTGTGAACAAAATGGCTCTGAAAGTGGGCTAAAAATAGGCTGGAAGGGTGAAAAAGAGAGTGCCGATGTCCCAAAGGAGCAGCATAGTTAAAAACATGGTGGGGCTAAAAGATTATTTTGGATTGGTGGGAGATACCTAACAGATAAAAACGAGAAGACTGGGGTAGGCTAAAACATGGCCAAAAAAAAAAAAAAAATAAAAATAAAAATAAAAGCATGACGAGTGAAATAGTATGGGAAAAACAAAACTATGTGGCCTGGTGACGTTGACTGTAGCAACTGTGGCTAGGATGGTTTTTTTTTTTTTTTTTGAGACAGGGCCTCAAACTGTCCCCCTGGGTAGAGTGCTGTGGCATCACAGCTCACAGCAACCTCCAACTCCTGGGTTCAAGCTAGTTTCCTGCCTCAGCCTCCCAAGTAGCTAGGACCACAGGCGCCCACCACAATGTCTGGCTATTTTTTGGTTGCAGCCGTCATTGTTTTGACGGGTCCAAGCTGGATTCAAACCCGCTACCTTAGGTGTATGTGGCTGGCACCTTAGCCACTTGAGCCACAGGTGCCAAGCTGCTAGGATGGTTTTAAAAAGAAATTTAGATATTTTCATCATAATATACTTAGGAAGCCTTTAAAATAATTTTATTAGAATGGGATCACGGTAGACAGGAACCCAGTGCAAACAAATCTTTTTTTCCATTTGCAGAACTGATGTTTGATCACTGGGTCAGGCAATGCCTATTTAGTAAGTGATTTTAGTGTGATCCAGGCACGATCGAGGCCTAGACTTTTGGCAGCGGGTTAGTAAATTAAAAAGAGACTCTGTGGTCCACACCTTCCCCTTGCTTTCTGGATTTGTGCTATAAAGATAATGCGGTTTGCCCTCCAGCAGAGCCTTTACAGGTAGGTGGAGACAGAAATGTCCCTTCTAGGTTTAGCTGATGCTGGACTGGCCTCTAGGTGACAATAATAGGCACCAGTTTCCAGGTGTTCACTGTGTGATTCTGGAAGTGCCTGCTTTTTATAGCCACCAGTTGGAGTACTGGTAACAGAAGATCAATTATTGAATGCCAAACATGTGCTCGGACCATTCCTAATCCTCAGGGAGATCAAAATAACTGGCCCGAGATCCCTGGAACTCGAACTCTGGGCTCCTGCACTATAATGTTCTTTACTAGGTCAGGGGAGGCCTGGCCTGGCACACCTGAAGGGAAGTGTCCAGCTGAGACTGGGAATACCTTAGTGCCAATATATCTGCATCGCAGAGAAATAAATATACCCTTCCCTGGGGTATATTTACAAGGGAAATTTGGTCAGGCCATCTTGGGCAAGTTTCTTAATCTTCCCGAGGTTCTGTTTCCTCACTTACGAAATGGGAGGAACAACACTGACTTTATTGGATTATTGTACTGGTGATAATGTGAGTGAAGAGACGGCAGTAAAAATAACAGCGGCATTTAGTGGGTGCTATTTGTAGGCCCTGTGCTGGGCCTTCTACAAGAGAGGTCGCATCTGACCCTCACGCCACCTTATGTGGCAGGTGCTGTTGCTATTCCTATTTTATAAACCAGGAAGCTGGAGCTGAGAGGGTTTGGTGACTTTGTCACTGAAGGGCACAGCCTGTGAGTGGCACACGCAGGACTCTAGGCTCTGCGAGACTCTGGAGCCTGTGCTATGCCAGATGCGATTTCTATTCTCAGAGAAACCAGTTGACGTATGTCTGTGTACAGTCTCAGGACTTCCAAAAGCCCAGTTCGGCCCTGCTGAGCGCCCCCTTCGGGAACTCCAGCTTTCTCTCTGAACAGCAGGACACACAGCCTAACGTGGCATTTTCCAGAAGCATCATCTTTCGAGGAACTACCCATTAAGCTTAAGATAACCCTCTATCTTTAGCATCCTTTAAAATCTCCTTTTCTTCTGTGTCACGTATATCCAAAAATCAATGTGATGTGGAATTTGTTGTGTTTCAGAAAAGGACAGATGGTGTCCTTCTTGAAACAGTGATGCCATAATCCTGCAGTTTGAACCCTGTTCTGACAACACAAGCTGGCCAGCTCCTTCCTAAGGCTGCTTTCTTTACTGCCAGAAGGGGGCTGAAGTGGGGGGATCCAACATCATAAAGTACCTTGAGAAGTCAGTGTTAGACTACTGCACACAGAACCACCTAGCTCATGTTTAAGGCACTCGAAAGAAGAAGAGACTAGTTTCCAGGCAAAGGGGTAAAGCTGGCAGAGGGCTCGATCCCTCACAGCCAGCCAGCCACCTCCCTGTCTTGCATCACTTTCACTACAAACAGAACAGAAGAGAACTGCTAGGGTCTGAATGTTTGTGTCCTCTCCAAGTTCAAGGAGGTGGGGCCTTTGGAGATGATTAGGTCATGAGGACTCCACCCTCACAAGAGGGATTAGTGCCCCTATAAAAGAGGCTCAGGAGAGAACTCTTGCCCTGTCACCATGTGAAGATGCAACAGGAAGGCTCCAAGAGCCAGGAATCGGGTCCTCAGCAGATACCAAATCTGCCAGCACCTTGACCATGGACTTCCCGGCCTCCAGAACAGTGAGAAATAAATGTCTATTGTTTAAAAGCCATCCAGTGTGTGGTGGTTACAGCAGCCCAAACAGACCATGACAAGAACCGAGCTGTGGTTTAAATGTTCCAGTTTTTGTCCTACTATCAAATGGCAGATAAATTTAAATTTTCCACGGTCCCTTTCAACTGGAAAACATCTGACAAAACCAAATACTGTCATGTAAAATGTCAGAGAATTAGGAGGAACAAAGGTGGTTTGTGTACAACCCCTCCCCTGTCTCCCTACAGGTTACAGTCATCTTCACTGCAAACAGGCTGAAGACACTTACGCACTCTTCTGGATTGGGAATGTGATTCCTACTGTGTTCATCTTAATAAAATCGAGCAAAGAAAAAACTACCTGCTTGCCTCCTGTCATTCCGTATAAAGACATTTTTCCCACATGAGGGTGAGCGATGTCCTGGCAGTCCTCTCAGTTCTAGGTGGCCCTCCATGGAGGGGCAAAAACTTGAAGGGATGGTTCTGCCATCTGCATCTACATAAAGGCTATGTCATTTTTGTCGTTTCTTTTACTGTCACGGCACATTCTACTTCTCATAAAACAATGAAAGCCAATACAAGAGATTAACCAGCCATTGGGGGCCACATACGTTTATCAGAGGCATCAAACTGGGATCTAGAGTGTTATCTACCCTTCAGAAGGCAAAGGAAGGGCAGGGCTTACAAGAGAACAGATTTTACCCGTGGGCTTCAAGAACATTTGTATCTTACAAGCCTTTTCTTTTCATAAATGTGAAAATAACCCCAAACAAGCTGCCAGCGGATCATTCTAAATGATATTTAATCCAGCAAAGCCAACCTTAGCTGAGTAATAAAAATATGTTGACACTCAAGACATACGAATTACTCTGTCATTGATGGAGGTAGCAACAGGAATTCTGTGGCATAAAGCAGTTGTTTCAAGCTCAGAGTATAAGTGGGTTTTATAACACTATTGACTGTTTTGTTTCTTTGGTTAAAAATTATGCCCAAATGATAAAAATAACTGCCTGACTACACTTTTTTTTTTTTTTAAATAATTGAAGTTCAAGCAATGAGAGTTATTTTTATTTTTAAGATTTGTATTAGATAAAAGGCTGCTCCCCTTTTGTTCCCTAGATCTTTTGGAGGGTGTTACATTGGCCCACCTGGAATTTTTCAGTTTTGTCTAAGTCCATGTCTGTGCAGATATAATGTTCTTATAGCATCAGTGAAAATGCTTAATACTACATAATAAAACTCACCAAATTCTGTAAATAAGAGTTCATCTCACTTCAAAACAAACATGCAAGTGTAAAAATTATTTTTGGATTACAGGGTATCCCATTTAAGTGTGTTTCTCTTAAACTTAAGGCCTTCTTCTGCATCAAGGCATGTGGAATTTGAAAGAAACTTCTACTATTTGGATTGTCTCTTCCATGACAAGTTTAGGAAAGGTTTTAGTGCAATTTTCCAATTCCAGACAGTGATCTCTCTCTCTCTCTCTCTGTGGGTGAGGTGCCCTGGGTATCCACAGCTAAAAGGCATTGTAAAAAATCTCTTCTTGTGGTTAAGGAGAAATATTTTCACTCCCATGTCTGTCTCCTACCAGAGACTCATTGTATAAACTCACTGACCAGAGACTGTAAAAAATGAGCAATTTACACATAAGCAACATGGTTCCTAAAGAAAAAAACAACATGCCAGACAAAACTGATGTTTAAAGAAATCTGAGTCGGCAGGTCGGGTTATTGACAAAGGGAATGTTTAATGATGGCGGTTAATTTAAATTCCAGGAAAGCTTCTCAGAAAGTCATCTTGTGTTGTTTTAACTGCCCCAGTGGACTTTTAAATGAAGGTCTGTAAACAAATGTTCCGAAGGTATAATTACCAACGGGGAAGAGGCTGAGTGTC